CACATCCTAGTACTTCACGATTGCATCGTCACCACCGGATACCAAACGGAGCTTATCAAGAACAGGATAGCAGACAAAATGCACAGGACAGTTATGAGACCGGAGTCGACGTAATGGGGTACTTGTTTTAAGATCAAACATCCGAACGAGGCCGGAAAGATCAGCAGCGGCCAGGAGGAGGCAGTCGTTACGGAAAGAGAGGGAGGAAACCACGTCTGAGAAGGAGATAGAGCTAGTAGGGGAAACATTGGGGTCTGAGAGAGAAAGAGGGGAGTAAAAGGAGACAGAGGCGGAGAGTGGGCAGCGCGAACAAGTGGAGCGGAGAAGGGGAGAAGGAGACGGAAGGAATCGAGGAAATGAGGTTCGTGATTTGTTTGGATTTGAAAGAGGACCAGTACTTGGATTCCGGAGTCTGGGTTTGAGCTTCGGCTTAACCGCAAAGGATTTCGAGATCACATTTGTCTGTTGTTGAGGTTGAATTTCAGCCCTTGCAGGGTAGAGAAGCTATACCAATGGCTGTTGCGGTAGCGTTGGGGTTTTTTCTCGGGTTTTTCAGCATTTTAATAGAAAAAGAACAGACTCAATTGCAATGTTTTCAAGTTGTACTTCTAATTTACAAAATTGTATGAAATTCTGGGCCCCGAAAAACGATATTTATCGATATTTATATTATAAATATATGACCTTAAAATCTCATACGTTCCCGATACTCTGTCGAGCTGCTGGTTTGCTTGCACTGGGAAACAATTTTCATTCAAGCATTTCAACAAACATCTTGTAAGCACTTCATGGCGGAGGAAAGCCAAGCGATGATCTCCCTCAAAGACATAGTACCGGCAGCTCAGAACAACGTCAACACAATGTTTATACTACTGGACAAAAGTAGGATCAAAACAGACGGACAGAACAAGTCGTGCTTGACGCTGGTGGCTGACCAGACAGCTGCCGTTCACCTGCAATTGTGGGGCGACCAGTGCGATGCTTTCGAGCCCGGCGACATTCTTCGCTTGCAGAATGGGATTTTTTCTCACCAAAGGAACAAGTGGGTGCTGAGGACAGGGAAGAGAGGGATGATCGAGAAAGTGGGAGAGTTCACCATGGCATTTGTGGAGACGCCTAACATGAGTGAGATTAAATGGATTCCTGATCCTAACAATTCAAAGAAGTATGTTCAGGAATCGGTAATTTCTCCTCATTCCCGTATTTTCCCACCGATTCCATAGTTGTTTTTGCCTCTCTTTTTGCAAATATATGATCTAAGATGTTCTTTGCATATTTAGGGTATGAAATAATTACAATGTCATTTAATATTATATGTTCAATATGTTATTATATAATTAATTTTTATTTATTTAAGAATTACTAATGATCTTGTAAATTTATGATTGACATTATAATTATAGCATTGCTTTTGTTGTTATTGTTTTTTTCAATTTGAAATTCCAAAATGAAAAAATCGCTACATCGAGAACCTCAATATATTATCCATTTATGTTACAATGCTAGAGCTAAAATTCAAACACCTTCCCCTATATCTGTTGGGTAGCACCATGGACAGAATATTGTACATACAACACACTCGTTGAGAGAGTAGTCTTTTACAACTCTCAAGCTATGTATACAACAGATAGGCTTTTATCTTCTGCAATCTGCATGGTTCAGATAGAACTGGAGCACTACAGCATACAGCTTCGCCATGGGGTTTTATGAACAAAGGACTCCCGCAACAATGTTGTTAATTACAAAAATTTTGCTATGTTCCTACCATCAAATATATGCAAGTGAACTTCGATCATGGTCAGGTTGAGGGCGACCACGAGTTGGAGTTGGTGGCCTTTGGATGTTAAGCTCCTGTTTGATGAGAGAAGCATATAGAGAATTAATATGAGCAGCAAGTGTGGTGTATTTGTCATTTTTGTTTATGGATTTCCTCTTTATGTATATATTGGGACGGGCTCAAATAATGAAAAGCGAACACTGATTACCTGCATCCATGAGTCATCTGCAACACGTTCCGGTGATGTTTCTGGGGACTGCATGGGAGGTGGCAATGGATGAATCAACTTTGGCACTATAACTAATCCTCTACCAATCACTAATATTGCTCCAGCATTGTTTGCAGTTCCTGGATGATTTTTTTTTTTTTTTTGGAGGGGGGGTGGTGGGGTTGATTAAAGGTAAAATTTCATTAGTTCCAGGATGAATATACCAGATAAGGCAGTGAATAATGAATGTTACAACAGAAACAGCTACCCAGAGAGTAGTTGATGAGGTTTTCTTACCACAATAGTTTGTCGCAGAGAACAGAGTAATCAATTGCCCCTGAGCAAACCGTTCAAACCCGTCCATTACACATTCATGTGCCCTTATTATAAGCTGTAACTTGTTTCTCTTACAGAAATCAGTGACTCGGTCAGGCTGCAAATATAAACATTGAATCATTGTTGGAATAGACAAATGTATAACTTAAACAATGCATATGCTTAGAAAAAGCATGGAAAAATATAACTCCATGAAAGTTGAGCAAGGAAGATGATATGAAATATCAAAGAGATTTATGCAAGGTGAACTGTCGATGAGAGCACATGAAACTGAAATTCACTTTTAGATGCAGTTATTGAGCCTATAAACAATCCAACTATCATCCTAACAGCTTGTCTAACATTTCATAGTTATTACGACTAAATGAAGACAGTTTCTGGAATATGTTCCTTTGAACGCCTCAAATAGAGTTGAATTCTAAGATCTCTAGCATAAGTTAAAATGTTATGATAGCTTTTTGTTAGAATTCACTCAGAACTTTTTCCAAGCATTCTTCCCCACTTTACACCAACTCTTTTATGGAGTAGGGAAGGGTTGCTTATGTAATCTTACATGCAAACAAGAATAGAGCTGATAAAACTATTTTGCTATTAAGTGCCATTCGAAAAAAAAAAAAAAAGCTTTTGCTATAAGTAAAGACATAGCATACCCCAAAAGTGACAAGACCAGGTCCTCTGGCATTCGGTCTCAAACCCTCTACACTATCATTTTCTGTGGGATCAGACCTGTATAAGCCAATCCCACAAGTAAAAAGTTTGTCCATAGAAAGATTGCAGCCAAATAAACAGATTCCAAAGAATCATACCATAAGAGGTCCATTAAAATTATAGATCCAGCATCCATTGTTATGGGTCTCTCAAGTTTCTCAATTTGTTCCACTGAATTAATAGATCTCCCTATGCCACCATGCATACAGATAATTTTCTTCTCAATTAGTGCAGCGAGTGGTAGACTGTTGAAGAGTTGATTGAACCGTGTCCATGCCCATATCCCGTCATTCTCCCCCTACAAATATATTCATCAGCACATTTTATTTTCGCACAACAAAGAAATTAAATGACAAATTGAATATATGCCATATTGATCCCACCATTCTCTCAATGCATTCAAGGCGAAAACCAAAGAGAGCATTTATGTCTGCAGCTTCATGATTTCCACGAATCAAGTGAACATTCGCAGGATATTCAATCTGGACAATCATCACCAAAAAAAGACAACAGAATCTAATAAGAAATGGCTCAAGGGGTTAATCTTTATGCTAAGCGTTTTGTTGGTAAGAAGCTTACCTTAAGAGCAAGAAGCAAAGTTATTGTCTCTAAGCTGTGCTGCCCTCGATCAACATAATCTCCCAAAAACAAATAGTCAATGTACCTGACAAGATATAACTGGTGAAGAAATTCAAGGGAAAGATATGCAGAACTAGAGTTTGAATAAGTAATAACTGTAGGCCTCAAGTTTCAACTATAATCAGGAGTCATCTACTCATCTGGCCCTTTATGAGTTAAGCAAGAAGACTAACATCTCCGTGACATATACCACCCTGGACTACATGTCCCCCTTATGATTGATGAATTTTTATCCATCATGTCTGATTAATTTAAGGAGTTTCTATCATATAACATAGATAACTATATTTTATTTTAAAATTTTCATCCCCACAATAAAGCATAAAGGAACCATCCACAAACAGCATTGCACAGACCAAATTAGAAGAATTAGTATGACTATATCTGTTCTTGGTAAGAACTCCACTACCAAACTAAAACTTACATTATGTCTCCTGCAGTTGAAGGAAATCCATATTCATCAAAAAGTCTCATTAAATCGCCAAACTGTCCATGAAGGTCACCAAAGACTTTTACTGGAGCTTTCAACTGAAGAACTGTCAGTTCTTGCATAAAAATCTGTTCAGCAGCATAACAGAGCTCGCCCACTTCATAAGAATCCAAGAAAAACTTCCTGTTAGCTGGAGCTTTCCAGTTTCGAGGCCTAAGCAATGTAGAAATAATCTGCAAGGGAAATCTATATATCAAAATACCACATTGAAAATTTAAAGACAAGACAGATAAATTTGGTAATGCTTGCCTTTTTATGTATGCCTTGAGGAGACCTCTGCCGGTTAAATTTTTTGGTAGGATAGGAAAGGTCATTATTTGAGGGAATCATTCGCCTGCTTTCATTTTCAAATTGATCCAGGGATAACTGCCTTACCATCCCTCCAAGATTCCCTACAGTCTCTTTAGCAACCACAACCTGCAAAGAAAATACATTATGATCTGCTGCTAGGTAATTGAAGAGCAACTCAGACATGCAACTGATTACAATATACATACAGCTCTAGGATGCAAGCGAACATCTGCCTCATTGTCACTAGTATCCGAAGCTGTCTCCGCAACCGGTGAATTGTCATCAGATACCAACGTTTCTTCTGCAGGAATGGCAGATGCAGCTTGCGCAGCTTGCCATACTGCAGTAGCTGCCTCAGCTTCAGCTGCAGAAGCCTCCCTCAGTTTCTCGAAGGAATTTTTATCCATGCTGTAAGATAAGCATACACTAAAAACTTAAAGAATGGAAGTGCACTGTCAAAATGTTCACAGAGAGAGATATGAGTAAGACCTCTGGGCCCCAGATTGAGGACTTCCCAGGTCAGCATCAGAAGTCATCACATGTACACTTAGAGTAGATTGACCAAATCTAGGAGTTGACAAATTTGAGGCTCTCTCAGATGTTAATATAGAACTGATGTCAGACTGGAATGGTGAATTTTCTGCAACTAGAAAATCATCCAACACCATATCTGCAGGGAATAAAATAATTATGTTGTTAATAAGATAATAAGAGTTTGAAATTATAACTAAGGTTACAATTCATTCTGTCAGTAAAAAAGAGAAAAAATCAAGCTGCACCATCATCACTTAGAAGTGCATGTGATAATTTAGCTGGTATAAAATGCATACAAAAGTTTGCACACACACAATATACAGATTAATATCTTTTAAATAACGGTACATCAATATATATTTATGCTGACAAGCATAAAACTTTTGTTCTCTAGTTTGCATGAGTTGAAATTACAAGTCTGCACCAACACCAGCCACCAAAAATTTAGCCGAGATCAATATCAAAGAGAAAGAGCATTTAGTTCATTTAAAAATTTCCTCCCCCAATGTACTTTGATCCTCCGCATCATATTTTAAATCATTTCACAAGAAAAATGCAACAAGTTATTCACCAGCAAAATATGTTTTATATCACCAGAAAGTGGGTATGTTTTTCCAAGTATCCTTGCTATTGTATCTACAAAGAAAGTTTTGGGAACCTAGCTGGACACAATAATGTTTTGTCTTATTACAAATCAATACTTCCATATGCAAAAATGCACACATTTCAGTATGAGGGGAAAATTTTCTGGTTAGAAGAAGGCAGGATAATCCCACATGGCACCATAAAGATTCACCCTAGGAAAACTTAATGGAAGAGCCACCATGTGAATGACACTGATAAACGTACAAGAAATACGAACCATGGCTGTATAACAATCTTTACCTCCTCTGAGACCACCATGAATATATATTCGAACACCAACAGATGCAGACGCATGACGACAACGACGCATAAGTTCTAAGGAAGGATCATGTTCGCCATGTCCCTTGCTGGTCCGTGAAGAAGTCACAAGTCCATTCCTATCCAACCAAACCCCAGCAGCAGTATCCAGCACTAGGAAACAGATAGATAATAGAAAATAAAAATATTGCCAAAAGAAAAGAGAAAAAAATGGCATTATTCATAGATGAGATGACATCAAAATGTTACCTGCAATAGCTGCTTCGCCTTCAATAGCATGTCCTCCTCTAAGAACACCTCCAGTAACATGCAACCGTGCCCCAACAAAAACCTGATGATAAACAAGAATGACATTTAATGACAGAGGAAAAGCCTAATCAAAAGTGCTCATATAGTTAAAAAAAAAAAACCATGTATCTGGCAAAACCCTCAAATTAACAAAAGTAAGAACTCTAAATTTACTGACTACTTTCAAGTTCAACAACTAGTTCAGTTCAATAAAAAAGATTGATGTAGGCCCATAAAGAATTTTGTATTTTTTTACTCATTCATAACAGATAATTTGACAACTGTGGTATCAACTTACCGCAGCATGCTGATACCTTGGTGAAGGTGAGACCCCTGGCGCAAGAGTCCACTCCCATTGACCATTCCTATGCAAAAGTAGTCCATATGCATCTGCCAGTGGCTGTAGAACCCACATAATATTAACAATCTCAAAGATGCCATCTTATTATAATAATTTCTAATAATATGATATCTTAATAAAGAAGGTTAAATGATGGGTTTGCACTGAAGGCTAATTAATGGGTTTGCAATCTAACTTCAAGCATGCAATAATATCCCATGCTTAATTCAGAAAAGTACGTGAATTCAATGGCTCAAAACAATCCAAAATATGAAAAAATTCCTTCTTTTCTCCAGAAAGTAAACAGCTGGAACACAGGCATATGGAATATACATTATGAGGATTGATCATACCGCCCCAGAGGAGTCTCTTCCACCACAGAGTAAAAACATGCCATCTGAGCGGGCACTAGCTGTTGCATACCTGTAAGGTCAACGTAAGTGAAATAAAGATTAGAATG